GATATTGACTGGTCTGGCTGATGGTGACTGCAATAGGAAGGGAAAGAAGAGAGACTGTTCCATTGGGCGACAGCGGGAGAGACCTGTGACACACCAGTGAGTCACCCTCAGCCTTTTTCTCTCTTAGGACTGAGGGCCGAAGACCTCTTCTCCAGAGGAGTGGGGGAGCCCCCCTTCAGGGTGTCAGCAACATGGAAGGAGAGTGCTGGGTTTCTCAACTTTAAAAACCCAAGAGGGGTCAATGCCCTCTCCAGAGCAGTGAAGGGCAGCATGGTTTAATGGTGAGCGGACTAGACTTCCAAGAGACCTTAGCTTAGACCCAATGAACAGAAAGGCTTTGGATGAGCTTTTCATTTACCAGTGGTTCTCAACCTTCTGGCCCTTTAAATACAGTTCCACATGTTGTGACCCAACCATAAAATTATTTTCATTGCTACTTCATCACTGTCATGCTGCTACTGTTATGAATCATCATGTAAATATCTGATATGCAGGATGGTCTTAGGCGACCCCTGTGAAAGGGTCGTTCGACCGCCAAAGGGGTCGCGACCCACAGGTTGAGAACCGCTGATGTAGACACTGAAGGCTTTAGGCTGTCATCTGCATATCAAGGGTAATGTTGGTGTAGGGCGGCAGAAACATCATGAAGCTAGAAGGGAAGGTTCCAGCTCTGCCAATGATAATAAAAAACTTATTCTGCATCTCACGCTAGAAGTTGTTCTACGAATCCTGAGGAAACGAAGATACAGAAGGTGTAAATCACAGAGCTCATCAGTGGCAGAGCTGGGATTCCCACCTGTGTCTGTCAGCAGAGCCGATTTCTTAACCCATGGGCTGCCGTCTCTTGAAAAAATGGGGGAGTGATCTTGGGCAAGAGGCAAACTCTCTGCATTTCAGTTTCTTCTTCAGTAAAATGGGGACACTTTTCAATTCCCAATTGTCTTAGAAAGTGATTCTCAAGCTCAAGATATTGGATATGAAATACTTTGTAATTTAGAAAATCCTATACATGTGTAAAGTATGACATTCCTCAGAAGAAGAATCAAAAGATAAAATGAGAGGGTTGATGAAAAATACTCTTAGAAATGGAAAAGTATAGACAGTACTTTGATGATCAATACTACTGTCATCCTGAGAAAGGCCAGTTGGAGGTGAATAGGTCCTTGGACTCCATAAAAAATTGGGGTGTAGCTTAATTTGATTTCGGCAGGCCAGAGAAAGTCAAGACCCTCCTCTCAGGAAGGGCATCTCTGTGCCGAGCCGGCACGGCCATGGGTGAACCTGAGAGGGGGCGGTGAAGGATTTAGAAAAGACAGACAAGAGAAGAAAGCTGGGTCTCGGTGGGACGCTGCCCCCTCTGATGGAGAGACAGTGCCATGGCCTGCAAGCCAAGTCTTTATCTTATAGCTGATGCTACGAGGCAAAGTAAGGGTTTAGTTAAGATGTTTACAACGTTCTCGTGGGTTTGGAATCTACTCAATTACATGCACCTGATCAAGCTTTGTTTACTTGCTGCACCTCCCACAGCCCACATCACTCAGCCACGTGGGACCACAGGTTCGGACCATAAGGTCAAGCTTACAACCATAGCCTTTGGTTGTGCTGGGACTTGCACGTGGCTTTGCCACGAGAGGATCGTGCCCTCTCATTAGTCCCAGGCTTGAACCTGTCCAAACGCTATAGCCGCTCTCTACATATCTCAAAGCTTATTTCCTTCCCTCTCCACTATCATTACTCTTCTTCAAACTGAGACCCAAATGAGGTGGAAAAAAATCTCTATTGAGATCCAAGACAAGATGAAATCTAATCATTCATTTATTTTCATGGCAAGCGCTGAGAGAGCATTATCAGTGTCCTAGAAACGGGCCCGGATGGAAGGACAGAGTCTGTACTCTCTAAGTGATGTTCTGGAGCTCGGCAGGGCCTTATCTATGACCCAATCCAACCTCTGGAAGGAAAGAAGTCCAAGTCCAGAGTAGTGAAGGGATTCGTCCAAGTTCACTATGGCCCATGACTAGAAGCCAGCTCTGCAGATGCCCAGGCCAAGGTGTTCCACCCATTTCGCTGCTTCCCTTCTGGGTGAGTTTGGGGTGAGTGGGAATTTGTTCAAGATACTTATTGTGTCCCTGCGACAATTCCAAACAATGTCAGGGGATTTTTTTTTAAATGGTTCCTTTTCGGCTTTATGTGCCTGAAGAACTAAGTCGGCACAATCTATTTGGGGTTCATGTTTACTGTTAATCCCCTGATTTCCTGTGGCAAAGAGTTTTTCCCTTTAGGGCTGAAATCTGCACCCATTTAGGGTGTTGTGTGTTCCCGTGAGCTGAAACAATCAATCACCGCCATTCAATGTCAGCAAATCCCAAGGAAGCAGACTTTCTGCCCCCCTCCCGCCCTGCCTTCTCTCTTCGCCTCTTCCCCTCCCCACGGACAGGAAGGCAATTCAAGTGCTTTGATGTGACTGCTCCCCCCACTTTAGTGTAACCTAAAGCGGAGGGAGGGACCTCTCACCCGGGTTGGGTTGGAGGTTGGAGAGTATGTCTCTTAGGGGGAAATGAGCACCATCATGTTTTGAGCCCAGAAGTCATCAGATCCCTCCTTCCGCGGTAAAGGGCCCTTTCCCTCCAGCTCCCAAGTGGCTCCAGCTGGGTGTGTGCTCACAGCTGGGTCACCGGGAAGACTTTCTGGGGACATTTCTACCTCTGCCAGTGTCAGGAGCTGCTGTTACTGTGGCAACGGGTCCCCCAGAGCTTCCCCAGTCTCAGCAAGGCTGCCCCACCCATGAACACGCTTAGTGTGCAACTGGGAAGCGGGTGTATTTTCACAACCAAGGGGCAACAGAGGAGACGGGCCCGGGGCTCCCCTCGCTCTCATGGAACTTGTGTTCTGTCATCTGGTTTACTAGTAGTTAAGGGGATTTCGCAGGGTGTGGGCTCAATGGTGTGTGTAGGAAGATGGAAAGAAAATTGCCAGATGGCAACAAGGATTCCAAGCCTATCAGAAGGAAAGAAAAACATTACTCACGGACACAAGAGGGCTGCCAACTTCATTTCTGGAAAAGGCGACTGGGCGCAGGCAAAGTCTGTTAGGAGCCTAGGTGGAGAGGAACTGTGAGATGACAGAAATTCATTTCTCACAGTTCTGGAGGCTGACAAGTCCAAGGTCAGGATGCTGGTGGGGTAGGTTTCATTCTAAGGCCCCTTCTCTTGGTGTGAGGTGCCCACCTCCTCATCTTATGCTCCCATGATGTTTTCTTCATGCGAGTGAGGAACGAGGAAGCCATGGTGCATCTTCCTCTCCGTAAAAGGGCACTAATTCCTTCATGGGGGCTCCACCCTGGTGACCTCATCTACATCTAATTTCCTCCCGAAGGCGACCTCCTAATACAGTCACAGGAGGACCAGGACTTCAACATAACAATTGTGTGTGTCTGAGTGTCTGTGTAGAGGGGGGTAGGGGTGGCACAAACTGTTTAATCTTGGGTTGGAGGATATTCTGATTTCATAGAAGGGAATACTAGGGCAATCTTCCTCATAGAATATAAAATGTGGAGTCAAGGACAAGAAATATTATTATATTTACCATTGACATGTAACCTTAAGTCAACTTCCATATTCATTCATCCAAAAGACAATTAGACTAGTTAGGCAGCCAAGTTAACCCCCAAAGATTGGTTACCTGACACGGGAGAACAATTTTGGGATAAAGAGGAGGTAGTTTTGGAGGGGCACAAGAAAGAGGAGAAATGGCAGAGAAATGAATTTTTTAAAAAGGTTTTCTTTTCTGTTGTTACTTAGTTTTGTTTTGAAGGAAAGGGTTTCAGAAGTAAACACAGAGAAGGAAGGCTCCTGTGAATGCCATATGCCACTCACAAGCCCAGGAATCCACCTGTACATGGGGCGACTCCCGTTTCAAACATCAGAGCACCCGCTTTCTCTATCTCATCCACACCGATCATGGAGAAGGAAACTTTTTGGGTCCTCACCCATATGCAGGACGCACAAGGCTGTCTGCAACCGATCTGGTGCTAATTGCCCAGCGCTCCCCACTGGAGTCCGTGGTTAATTCCGAGGAGGTTCACACTGGAGAATGCAGACTCAAGTCTTGGCTCCAGAGCTATCCCACACCATGTGCTGTGCAAATGTGCCCTGGCAGAAGGAAGGGACTCCGCTCCACAGCCGGCGGGCTTCTCGAGCAGGCCTGACCCAAGCACTAAGTCTTCTAGTTTCCTTCTTCTCCTGAAATGCACCGTCTTCATTCTCACTGACCTTCCTCCTTTGCTCCTCTGCCAGCTCTTCCCCTCATTCAAATCCTGGCCTTGAGGCTTATTCTGGGGCCCACAACAGTAGGTGATTTCACCCCCACAGGGCCAATGCCTTGGCCTACACTGATCCAGACGTCTTAGAGTCATTAGTGTTTGGGGTTTTTTTCTTATAGTTTTGATCTGTTGTGTTCAGGCAAATAGTTGCTGCAGCAAATGTGGTTGGAAAGCCAGCAAACGTCTGTAAGAGGGAAGAGGGATGTATGTTATTTTCTTTTCTTCAAGGTTATGACTTCGTCTTTGAAAAGCTTTCCCTGTAGTGTCCTAGACGTGGTGTAGATGAGCTGTTAGAGGTGTGAAATGAAGAATTTTAAACCTGAAACCAAAGGATTTCCCAGATAACTCAGAGAGCAAGTGGAGGATAAATTTATCTTTTTCTTCATGGTAATTGTATTCCTTTCAAATTTGTGTCTGAGGCAGGGAAAGAGTTGAGAGTATTTCCTGCAGGCAGATTTTTTTCTTTTCTTTTCTTTCCTGCAGGCAGATTTTTTCTTTTCTTCATTTCCTTTCCTCCCTCCCTCCCTCCCTCCCTCCCTTCCTTCCTTCCTTCCTTCCTTCCTTCCTTCCTTCCTTCCTTCCGTTTCCTGATCCCAGTGAGATAGAATAGATGAAGGTTGAAAACTGGGGAGTAGACAGTGTATGTTAGGTATTTTTGTGACCAAATAATTTTTAAAAACTATTTTCAAATCAGGACTGATTTTCTTTAAAAATGCACAGCTTTAGAACCTTATAGCCCACACACTTAGGCTGCAAACAGTACTGTTACAAAACCGTGTGGATTTTGGCATAGGAAATATAAAAACAAACTTCTTTCAGTTGACATTTGATGTTGAATAAAGACATAAGGTCCTAAAAAGAAAATTTGTCTCCCCCTTGTCCTTCTCTACATCTTATTTCCAGCAAATTCTTTTTACTGAATTTATTCACACATTTTACCTCCTAAAAGTTAAAAATCTTTACTTAGATGAGCTTCAGTATTTATTTTGTACCTATGCACTAGGTATATACAAGTAGGGGGAAAAGTAGCTTTACAGTTGTATCAGAAACACAGTTTATTCTTATTTTATTTATTAATTATTGTATTATTTTCCATACAAACAACTGTAAATCTACTTTTGTCCCACCCTGTATATGGGAAAGTTGAGGAGACATAGGGATATAATGAGAACCAGAGATACAGGATATATTCCTTGCCCTTGAAGAAGTATACTCTTACTGAAGACTATATCTATTATCTATCATTTATTTGTCTATCATCCATTTATCCACCCATCCATCCATATATCTATGTATCTATCTATCTACACACACATACTTATCTGAGAGGCAGTGTAAGTAATTCTGAGGAAAGGGAGCATTTTGACTGGCACAATCAGATAAACTCCATGGAGAAGGTGGAACTTGAATTGGCCCTGCCAGATAGAGGGTGCCCACCGATGCCCAGCTGAAGGCAGGTAATCTGCCTGGTGGAAAGAGGAGCATGCGCCCAAATACAGAAGCAGGAAAGAGCAGCTAGACGAAGCCCCCGGATGTCTACAAAACCATCTCCCTAATATGTGTATCCCCAGGTGAGAGTCCTGCCAACCAAGCCCACGTGATGCTCCTAGAAACATACGAAGCCTTCAGGAAAGGCGCCCTCGCTATCTTGAAAGAACCCTTTGTGGTTATGGATAACAGAAGGCGAACTTTGGACACAGCCGCTTGAAGCTGGAAAGGTACTGGCTTGCCATCACTTTGTTGAATTTGGACTCCATGTGAGTATTGGCAAAGGCTATAAACACCACAAGTTTTCTGCTTTTGTTAATAAGGTCTATCCTCCCTAATGGCAAGATACGAAATGTAGACTTTTTGCTACATCACAGTTAACCTTCCAGTAGGTACAGGGGCAGAGTGGTTCCTTACCAAGGGCACAGGTAAGGGGCTATTTACCCAGGTTTGCAGATCGCCAAATCCAATCAGAGAGGCCGCAGCGTCTGCAGATTGTGCCTCTATTGTGCAGCTCTGTGTTCATCGAGCTTGGTCTTGACCCTCATGGACTCATCCAAGTGTCTGGAAGTAATTAGAGCCAGCTCTTCACTGCTCATAACAACAGGGTGCAACAGTGACATGGACCATAAGGGGAAGGAAAACAAAGCCCCAGTGTGGATTTCTATATGAGCCCCAGACTTCATCATTGTAACACCCTCATCTCAAAATTCGTTTGCCGTTTCCCAAACACTGACTAGCGACTGAGGTCTACTTGGGGTTAAAATGAGTAGATAATGTCACTCCAAGAAATGTTTTCTCAGTTTGGATCTTGATACTACTCCTTTTTTTCTGTCATTTTCCCCTTCCAACTTTCCACACAGTAGGGTCTGTAGGGAAGGCTTGAAGGATCGAGATACGTACGGACACCAGATTTTGCCACGTTGGTGAAGAAACATCAACGTGACAAATGTGCGAGCAAACCATTGTTTCCCAGGAGTGGTTTTCGGTATTTCACCACATGCTTGTTCTCACTTCCGAGGAAGTGGAGTTCAAGTGCACATTCGGGCCAGAGACAGGTGCGAAGTGACAGGGAGGCGGCAAGAACGCTCGCTTGCTCGGCAAATGTGAGAATAGACTGTAGGTGCCCAAGTTGCCTCCACCACCTCAGAGCTGCCTGGTTTCCATCCCTGTTGCTACTGGGTCACAGCCGGGAAAGAGTTCTGTTTTCACTTGCTTCTTGCTTGACACATTCTTCTGGCTTTATGTCTTCTGTCTAAACCAGCCAGTGTTGTCTGTGTAATAACTAGCAGGGGAGTCTTCGGCTGTGAAAATATTGTTTGGGGCCGTCTCCCTCACTCGCTCTCTCCTGAGAAACTGTTGAGTGTAGCAGTGTCTCTCATCCTCTACCACAAGGGTTCTCAAACTTTTTAAACAGGGGGCCAGTTCACTGTCCCTCAGACCATTGGAGGGCCGGACTATAGTTGAAAAAAAAAAACTATGAACAAATTCCTATGCACACTGCACATATCTTATTTTAAAGTAAAAAAACAAAACGGGAACAAATACAATATTTGTATTTGCATGTGGCCCGCGGGCCGTAGTTTGAGGACCCCTGCTCTACCACAAAGGAGTGGTGGAGGTGTGCTAGCTGAAACGTACCCATCCCTGGTTTCATCCTCTTGTCCGCAGATGCAGAGCAAGCATCTGCTGCCTGTGATTTCTGGCGCTCCCGGTGGAAAGGAAATGACCTTCAAGTGCAAAAACATCATGGTTGCCTCCCTCCCCAAATACCACTCCTTCCCTGGTTCCCATTCGCACTTGTACCCAGCAGGGCTGGCCCACCTCCCTTTCCTTCCCGGGAAAGCACTTCTTGCTCCAGCACAAAGGAAGCCTAGAATCCACAGCAGTCTGAGGGGCTTTGTAGCAGCAAGGCCTCGCCAACCTCCCCCCCGACAGCAGAGGCCTGGGATAATGATGCCACTGCATTTCAGAGAATAGCACGTGTACTGTATGAAGCAGGTTTGTATACGTTATCTCATTCATTTCTCAAAAAGGCTGTAATGTATTTGTCCCCTTTTCTAAGACATGTGAAGCTGGCTGACCACGTCCTCACAGCTGGTTAAGTGCAGATCTAGGATGTCAATCAGTCCTCAATGATCTCTCATGTTCATTTTACTCCATAAGGCCCTGACGCTACCTCACATGCAGGAAGCAGGGGCAGACTTGAACACGTGAAAGGGGGTCAGAATATGACTAAGACAGCAGTCAAGATAATAGGGACAGGACCAAGAGCAAACCCATTTCCCATGAACTCTGAGGACTTGTCAGCCATGAGGAATACTCCTCGGGAAGTCTTCCAATATTCCCACGGTGTAAAGGGGACCGTCCCAGGTTCCTGAGCATGCCAGGCCAGGCAGCTCGTCCAACTCCATGTCCTTTCCCGCCTCTGACTGCTCTGTTCCTGCGTACTGTGTGGCACCACGTGCAGCTTTCTGTCTTTTGTTTAGAAATTTCTTGATTGGAGTGGAATATGCATCACATGAAACTTATCACCTTAACCATTCTGTGTACAGTTCAGCAGGGCTATGTATGCCTACACTGCTGTAAGGAAGATCTCCAGAACTGTTTTTCTTACAAAATTGAAACTGCACCCCAGTGCCTCTCTCCCCTCCCTGGATCCTCCCACAACAAGCATTCTACCTGTTTCTGAGTTTGATTGCCCTAGTGCCTCAGTGAAATCATATGCCTGTCTTCTTGTGACTTCTCTTACATCGTTCATTGCTGCCTCCATCGGGACACCCTCCCCATGCTTCCACTGGTTAATTTTGATTCATCCCCCAGGAGACCATTTGGAGAATATCAACTCAGGCTTTCCATGGTCCCACAAGCTCATTAAGTGCCCTTCCATAATCACACCCAACTGGGCTTGTCTGTTCTAACCCCTGGATACTCAAAGTGTGGAGGAAGAGTGGCATCCTCCTTGGCATACATCGGGGAGCTTGTTACACACACAGCACACTAGGCCTTTAAGAAGATCCGGGTAAATCTCACACACACACACACACACACACACACACACACACACAATTCACGTTTGATTCTAATTCACTAGACAAGGGGTCTGCACACCACTCACGAGCCAAATCTGGCCAGTTGCCCGCTTTTGTAAATAGTTTTACTGGAGCACAGCCAGAGTCATTTGTGTATGTATTGTCTATGCTTTTATGCAACAATGGAAGGGCTGAGTAGTTGCAACAGAGGCTGCCACAAAGCCTAAAATATTTTTTCTCTGGCCTCTTACCAAAAAAAAGTGCTGGCTCCTCTACTAGATTACAGGCTCTGTGAGAGCCCGGTCTTATTTTGCTTTGAAAGAGGAAAAGCAGCTCAGTATAATGGTTATGATGTAGACTTGTGGGTAGACTTACATGATTTACAGCTGCTTCTGCCATTTCTTTGCAAGTAAGTGACTATGGGCAAACCACAAATTCTGTGCCATGTTTCTCTTTCATACACGGGATCTACATATATAAAAGCCTAAGAGACCGGTCAACCTTGCTGACCGTCCAGTAGCTATGACGTGCAATGACCACCAGGGGGAAGATGTTCAATGCACAGGCATGGAAACATGGAACAGACTGATGAATCTCAGAGGGAAGGGGGAAGAGGGGAGGGCAGGAAGAGATTAACTAAAGATCTTATATGCATACTAGAGGCCCGAAGCATGGTCCCTCGGCCTGGCCTGTGGGGATTGGGCCGAAACTAGCTCTCTGACATCTCCCAAGGGTCCTGGATTGCAAGAGGGCACAGGCCAGGCCGAGGGACTCCACTGGTGCACGAATTGGTGTACCGGGCCTCTAGTATATAATAAAACCTCCCGTACAAGGTTGTGTGGGTTAAATAAGTTAATGTATGTGAAGTGGTTCAAGTGTCACCTTCAGCTGATGTTACCTCTTAGCAGTACAGGCATTTTTAGAGTGTCATGGGGATCTGTTGATGTTGGCAGAATGACCCTAACAGACACTATCAACACTCATTCTCTGCTGCCTCCTTGCAAACATATAACGGTATTTCTTAGGTATCTAACCTTCCTGGAGGGTGACCTCCTCTTGGAGGGTGGGGGGGAGTAAATACTAGTGCTAGTCAATCCTGATAATGCCATTCTCAATGTCAGCGGATTGGTTTTCGGGTGGGAAGTTCTGGCCAATGAGATTCTTGAAGGGCTTCTGAGAAACAGTTTCCTCTTTAAAAGAAAAAAATGAAGGTGATGCCTTGATTCTTTTACATATTGTTTTGGTAAGAATGTGATGCCCTAAACTGTAACCACCATGAAGGACAGACTTGCATGTTTACAATGGCAGAGCAGAAAGATGGAAAGAATCTGGCCATTTCTGAGGTCAGAGCTGCTGAAACCATTAACCCCTGGGGCTCACCTACTCAGGTACTAATTTTATGGAGGAAAATACATTTTCCTAGTCATTTCAGTCCACAGCATTCTAACTCCTATCGCCAGGGGCCATGTTTACACATATTTTTACTCCACCCAGGACCTAACAACTGTCGTTGGGTGCGATGAGGTAGTTGGAAAATGAATGGGCTGGGTAGGGAAAAAAAAGGATAAAAAATGTTCTGGCTTAGTGCAGGCCCAATTCTTCACTGGCTTTTATCACTCTCAGCTGGGAATATATTCTCCTGAAACCTGTGGCTCTCTCCCAAATGCCAATCAATCTCCCTCGTTGTCTGAACTTGTTACCCAAGTAACAAGTTGGCAGGCTGTTTCAAGACCAGATGGGTTTTGATGATTTCTTTGGCGATATCCATGATTTCCCCTCTGGGCAGAAGGAGGGTATGAGGACAGCTTATCTTTTTGGGGCAGAGGAAGTATAGGTGGGGTCTCTTATATAACATGAAATATATGGAAGTTTTCTTTGGGTTGGAAGTGCCAAAAGATTCCTTAGAATTTACAGCCACAGGGTTTTTCTGGTGTGTCAGCTTCTGTACTGGCTTTGTCGCACTTCTGAGCCAGGACTAGTAACAGAGATTCTAAGCAATGTAGATTCAAAACGAAATACATATCAGGGTCAAGTATGGGGAGACGGTAACAGAAACGAGGGCTCCCAGCTGTCACGAAGAGCACCTTGGTCCTAGAGCAGGGGTCCTCAAACTTTTTAAACAAGGGGCCAGTTCACTGTCCCTCAGACCGTTGGAGGGCTGGACTATAGTTTAAAAAAAAACTATGAACAAATTCCTATGCACACTGCACATATCTTATTTTGAAGTAAAAAAACAAAACGGGAACAAATACAATATTTGTATTTGCATGTGGCCTGCGGGCCGTAGTTTGAGGACCCCTGTCCTAGAGGAAAGAGGTGAAGGACCAGCTCCAGGAAGTCAGCTGGACTCGCTGCAGTGCCACGCCCTCCTAGTGCTCACCAAAGACAGACCCGCCTGTGAGGGTCTCAGGTAACTCTGAAGCCACTGAAATCACTGTAATGATCAACTGTTAAGGCTAGAAGGCTCCAGGAGACACTATCTCACTTATCTCCTTGCCTGTAGGCAGTAACATACCTGAAGCCTTTCAATTACAGTAGCACAAGTTTTATGATTAAAAGCCTGGAGGGGGGGGGGTGTGGAAGGAGTAAAAAGATTTCACAACTTTCCCATAAACCATTGTGTGCACATCACCTACTTCAGAGTTGAATAGAATCTTGACTCTTGTTCTCATCAGTCTAACCCCAAGACCTGCCCCCAAATGGGAGGACCCATAATTCAGGGAAAGCAGGGCTCTAGCAGGCCGGTACTGAAGAATGAAGGGTGAGCATAGGTCTCAGTGACACCTTTCCAACGTTTTTGTCGGCTACTCATCTGCATTTAATGTGCACCACTTTCCTTGTGACCCCTCTGCCCCCTTCTCTACCAACACTTTTTCCTAATTGTTCCATTTTTATTTTTAATGATTTGAGAGAGGAGAGACAGAATGAGAGAAAGATCGATTTGTTGTTTCACTTATTTACACATTCATTGGTTGATTCATGTGTGTGCTCTGACGGGCTTGAAAACGCAACCTTGGTGACCGGGATGATGCTCTAAACAACTGAGCTACCCGGCCATGGCCTAATTGTTCCATGTTTCTAAAGACACTGCAGCCTGACACAGCCCCTTTGCCTTCATCACTGGTGTTCTTAAAACCTAACTAGGTCCTTAAGAACAGGAAGTGAACATCTTCCTGTGGGCAATCAATTCCCTGTAGGTTTGCTAACATTACTGGTTCTGATGCAAAGTTCCCTGTGAGACTTGTGAGGAGAACCTGCCCTTTCCTGGGGTTCCTACTCTCTGGGCATTCTCAGCCCTGGAGCAAGGGTTTCCCTTTCCTTTGGAAGCACTGAGCTGAATATGCAAATTGCCATGCGATTTTGTGGAAGGAAGACAGACAGGTCACAAAGGCCCAAACTCAACTGCTCCTGGGGAGGAGACTAGGAGGAAATAAAATCAGCAAAATCTGTGACCCAACTTTCTTTCAGGAAAGGGTGTGGAGGGTGGGCTGGCAGTCTGCTCTGAAGTCTTCATAGGAGAAGTATACCCACCCAGGGAAGCAGCCTTCAATGACAACCTCCATAGGGCTGATGTGCCGGAAAACAGCCAATCAGCAAGCAGTCCCTTGAGAAATGCTTGCCCTCCCTCCTCTAGAATTGTTGGGAAACTAGGGGTCTGGCTTTCCAGAATGGTCCTGACTGAACTTCCAGTTTCCTGGTGGGAACAGAGAGCTCAGAAGATTGTATTCGCCTCCAAAGAAATCTTTTTTTTTTCTTGGTTTATATAGATTTGTATGTTGGTGGATTTGGTACATGTCTGCACAGGGCCAGGCTACCAGCAAACAATCTTATGGAGGAGGGCAAAAAGGGCTCACAGATTCCTTATTCAAAGGAAACAGAATCTACCCACCAGCAATGCCCCAAACACCACAAAAAACATATGACACTTGGACATGCATACAATTGGTACATATATCCCTCCATCACTTGCTACAGATGGAGTAGAACTAAGGGAAAGCTGTGCTAGTGAGCCCCATGTCTTCTGAGCCACAGCCCAGAGGGCAAGGCCTCCTACTGGTCCCTGGTGGCAGAGTGACCCTCCTTCCCAACCTTTGAAGAATGGGTAATGACTGATGGCTACGGGGAGACACCCATCCTCTTGGGGTTGTCGGGGGTATCTGAGGCAGAGGTGCTTATGGTAGACTCCTCAACGGAGGCACTGAGATCCAAGAATTCCAGGATGATGTCCCAGAGGCAGAAAATCAAATGCCTGAAACAAATGGACAAAACAACTTAGAGGAAGGGCTGGCTCTGTCAGGAGACACCAGGTCTTATTTATGACACTTATTTGCCCTCCCCTCACCCCCAATACTGATATCCTCAGTGGACTCTAAACTTCAATAGCTGGACCAATCCTCTGCCATGGAACCAATTTGTTGAACTAAAAAAGGCTGTGGCCTCAGTAAAGATAGAAACAGAATTTGAGACTCGATTTTAGGAAATTCCATACTTATTTACGTAGCTAAGTTAGCATGGCAGCACTGTTTCTGTGAGGGAGGGACAGCAACTTTCTAAGAATCTCAGAGCCACTGACTACTGCTGTTTCTCATAACTTGTTCACTACAGAGTCACTGGTCACCTTACTGGCAATGAGGCAAAGGCCAGGGGCCTGAGGAATGGGACTTGGTAAATGCTCTCTCCTTCAGGACAGGGTTTGAGAGAGATTGGAATACTTGATACTTTTCAGAAGCATTCTATCCCAAGGCACCAGCCAGGAAATACCTACCTCTTTTGAATTATTCTAGAGTATTCACCCAGTTTTTCTGGTTGCTTTACCAAAGCCCAATCTCATTATCTGATCTACTTCATAGTAAACAAAAACTATTCCTGATCCTAACAGTAATCATAGCTTTGCAGTGAGGCCAAGAACCCGTGGCTGACAATCATTATACAGCCTGCAATGCCCAGACCAGGGGATGCTCTTAGTGTTCACGGGTGGCAGAAAGAACCATCAAACACACTGAACAGGCTGGAGGGTGACCAGGCGTTTTTAGTAGCTCATGGGGGGCCTTCCGAATGCAGACACAGAGGCTGGTCCAGCACTAGCTCACTACACAGGACAACCTGCTCAGGAGCCGGCAGCGTGGGCTTTACTTA